GTCACCTGTCCTCGGCTCATCCTGCACGGCACACCCACCGCAGCTGATCTCCAGCGGACTTCCAGAGTCCAGTTTAGCCCTACGGGCGCACATTGCATCCACATGACATCAGACAATGTCCCACAAGCCGCGGAAGACGGGCCCTGAGGGCCGGGGAATATGCCCCACAAGAATGACAACTGTGGAACACAGTCGAGAATGCACGATGCGGCCTCAGGCGGCACTTGCACAGGCATGCGCCCAAATGCGCAACGCGCTGGAAAGCATTTCTCGAGAATGTCCTTCCAGCGCCCCCAAAAGGCCTATGTACCTGCAGTAAGCACTTGAAATCAGCACTCCCCTATTTGGACCATTTATTGGGACCCTTTTTGGGTGATACCAGCCTATATCACCTGAGGGGAAAAAATTTGGAACGATCTTGTGTGCACTGCTATGGACACGTTTGTTCAGGAGCACGACGTGGAGAGCAAAGGCCCGTTGTTGTCGCAGCACCGCATGACCAGTGCACGATACTAACACTCCATGGTACCAGGCAGTTTAGAAGAGAAGGTTGCAAACAGGCCGATGCAGCAACATACTGGCGTAAGCCAATCTGGACAAACACGGATAAACAGCTCAATTTAGTCGCAGGATCGGGTGAGCACTCCCTTCCGGAATTCGAGGAATAGTACTAGCGAGATCTGGGTTGGTGGGGAACCCTCAACCCTAAAAACTAAACCCCAAACCCTAAATCCTAAACCCTAACCCCTATATCCAAGAACCTAAATCCTAAACCCTAAAACTAAGTGATGGGGAGCCTTAACCTTCTTACCACGAATCCCAAACGCTCAGCCGCTCCAACACTGAACCTTGGACGCCTACACCCGTAAAATCCAAGTTTAATGTTTAGCGTTTTGGGTTTACCATCCAGGGAAAAGAACCCTCAACCTGTAACCCTTGATGCCTCTTAACCCCTGTTGAGATCCAGAAGGAGCGCCACCAAGTGCGATTGTCCCCAGTAGGCTGCATGCATTAGTGGCGAGATGCCCTGTGCATCCTGGCGCTTCGGGCTTCAGAGTTTAAGGACTTGGATATATAGGGTTTGGGTTTTAATAGGGTTTAATGTTTCGCATTTAGGTTTAAGGCCTGGATTGAGGTCAAGGTTTAGGATTTGGGTTCAGGGTTTTAGGGAATTGGGCTTAGGGCTGACTAATTTCTTGTTGGGGTGCTCCTTTACATTGCAGTCGCGTTCCTTATTCATTGGATTGCAGCGTAAAAGGGCTGAAAATGATCAACGTTGATCCAACCTAGGGCATTGGATCCAGGGTTTAGTGGCTTAGGGAAGAGAGCTTGGGATTTAGGGTTTAGGGTCTATGGCACAGAATTTTGAGAAATGGGGGGGGGTCAGGGATCTAAGCTTTTTTGGCTTGCAGGCTTCAGCCTCAGGGTTCAGGGCGTGGGGGCCTGGTTGTCCAGGTCCTCCTTCGAATAAAGCTTTGCAACTTCATATGCCATGAACTCCAACTTCTCGCCAATGCAATAAGCAACCAGACAGTGGGCATACACATTGGGCGGGAAGAACCTGGAGATCCGGAATTTGGAGGACAAACGTCCCATGCCAAACTGCTGCTGAATCCACACCAAATCGTTGTCATGGAGGCGCCTCTTCACATCCTCGAAGTCGCTCTCTTTGGACGAATCCAGTGGCGACAATTCCTCCAACATGCTTGATGCTTTTTGCACCGTCCATCTGCACTTGAGGCTCAAGCTGTATGAATGCTGAAGAATGCTGAACATGTTGTGCATGATCAGTCGCTGTGCCACACAAGTTGGCAATGTACGGTCTCACTCTCAGGTCATCAGCTTTTGCTCGCTGGACTGCTTTGCGTTTTGCTCGTGGCTTGTGAATGTAAACACTCACGTTGAGCGTACTGTTTCAAAGGGAATTCTTTCATGAAAACCATACTAAAAATCCTGCATGACAACAAGCACACTGCACTTTGGGAATTGTGGTGTTAGAATAGACTAAATCCATGCAAGCTTTGTCGTGTCAACAGAAGGTCGCAGATTGCGGTCCCAGCCAAAGACTTCTTGAAGCTCTCAACCCTCACCCCCTAAATCTGCGCGGGTGATGTCCCGTGTTCCTTCTGTTCCTATAAGCTCTAAGCTCTAAACCCTAAACCCTAACCTCTCCGCAGAAGCACTGTTACAAATACTGCTACAACTATTGACTAGTACTAATACTTTGTTGTTGCTGTTAAGACTCCATGCCAGTACGTGCACGGCATTTTCGCAGCACAGGGCTCCGCTTGATGGCCGACTGGCATCTGCAGGCGGCGGATAAGCAGATTTCTCACAACTTGGGATCCTTGAACACTAAACCCTAGACCCTAAACCCTATTGTGGATCCTTGCTTAAGCTTTTCGCATTGAAGCCAACTTGTGTTGGGGTAGAAACCGGGACCCTAAGGTTGAGAAATGCCAACAAAAGAATTCGGCGGAGTTGTAGGTTCTGCATGGAGTCGCGGATCACCCGCCCCAATGGGTGGGGGGTGTACTTGTAACATGATTCGTCACATCTGCTATCATTTGCGCCCAGTTCTAGGCCCCTCAGTAGTTGTGGCGATGATGATTGAGTGTGAACCCCTGTGTTTGGCTTCTGGCATATTTGATCTCAGCAGCAGGCCTTTTCTGGTATGCACACATGCAGCATGAAAGAGAACACAAATCACCGGAAGATACCCTCAGGAGGGTTAGTCTAAAGCAAAGCGAAATGGATGGTTCTAAAAGTTCGGCTATCCTTAGCGACCCTAGGCATGTACGGGGACTACATGAAGAACATTTTCAAAGCGGCTGGCGTCAGGTGCCTTCTGAATCATAGTAAATATCTTGGTACGCCCCTGTGAAGTTCAGTCTTGTATTTAGTGTGACGAACTGGACACTGGCACCCAACCCAAAGTTTGTGGATCGTTCATCTTGCCATGGACCCTGATGGATGAAAGCGTTGTTCCCTGTCAGTGACTTAGAAATCTTCCAACACCTTGGGAGCATCGCGATAGTGGATCCGCGAAAAGCTCACAGATTCTGCCGCCAAGTTCACTAACACCGCTCTCATGTTCAACAACCCTCCCCCCCCCCCGAAGCGGCATAAGCCAGAACATGTCTGCATAAACCTGGTGTGCGACAGCCTTCGGAGCTTCACAGCCCTGTACCGCCCCTCATCTTGCATGAGTTGTGTATTGAAAGATGCTTGCAAGACTATGAAACGCGTCCCCAGAACGTGTAATGTACACATTGCCAAGAAAATCACCCTTACCGACCTCCCTCCAGGAAGCCGAGCGACGTACTTCCAACTTTTAACGACACCTGCAACGGACACCTTCATAACATCATGGGCTATTAAACCTTACAGGCCCCATAACCTTATATGGATCCAATCAAGGAGTAGTTGTTACCAATCTCATGTTGAAGTCTATTTGAGGTACCCTATACAACAAGCATGACAGGGATGTGGGACCATAAGTATCTGTAACCGTTAAAGCTTTTACAGTACGGCTTCTACATCATAATCGTCCATACTGAAAACCCTAAAACCGAACAACCATGAACCCTAAAAACCTTAAAACCCTAAAAACCCTAAAAACCCTAAAAACCCTAAAAGCCCTAAAAACCCTAAAACCACTGAACCCTCAAGGAAAAAAAATACTGGCACACCCTCAACTCAAGCTCCATGCAATGCTCTCACGAGCAAGGAGTGAAAAAGACTGGGTCTGTCCACGACGCCGAAGTGTCGGAAGACAAGGCTGTGGTAGCCCTAAACACTAAACCCTTAGGTGGACCCCCCACCCAGTAAGTGACTATAAGGAATAGTAAGGGTTATATTAGGGTCCTCTTATATTCCTATTATATCACTATTACAGGGTAGGGGTGTCCTCCTAGCCTAAACCCTAGTAAATCCCGGGGATCAAAAGAATTCACTAGGCTCAGAGGCCGTGTACTTCTCGGATGAGTAGAACCCTTGGATTGCGCCATCCTGCGTTACAGAATATGTTCCTCATCCTTTTTCACCATGACTACTATTTTTGACCATGATTAGTATATGGTTTCTGTTTCTGTTCGTCGCACTACTAGTGGTATTATCAATATTGTTATCGTTATTACTAGGCTTGTTCCTATCATTACTATTCTTAGCGTTGTTGGTCTCATTACTTGCTTCTACCACTGCCTCTGCTACTGCTCCTGCTGCCAACATTCCTGTTCCTCCTCTTCCTTGGACGGCGACTCCTCCCACTCCTCCTCTTATTGCAACAAATCAAGTGGCCTTTTCTTCATTTGATTAAGAAACTGTGTTGTGTAGGAGACATGCGGAAGTTCTGTAGGAACCCTGTAGGAAAGATGCAGGAACCTTTGGGTAGTACGAGTACATGAGGATGGCGCATGGTGCTCACGTAAGCTTTCTTTTGTTGCTAAGAAGCTGCGAGTTCACAATGGCTCGAACCTACCTCTTCGTTTAGATGTGCACGTATCTCTCGTAGCACACCTAAATCTCCTAAGCCTATATCCCGAACCTTCCTAGTGCATCCTAAACCCCAAATCTTTGAGCCCCGGGCTGTACGCGGCAAAGCCTAGACCTCTGTCGACTTCTTCTGGCTCTGCTCCTGGTTGTTCTTCTCCTGGAAAGCAACCCAGACCCCCAAAAAAATCTAAAAGTTAGATCCCCTAGAACCATAGGGGGAATACTATAAGGATTATATAGGGGTTATAATGGGTCTATATAGGGGATCTAATTTTTAGATCCTCCCAAAGGTCTGGGAATCCACTGATAAGCAACCTTCAGCTCAGGGCCTTTGCTGAAGTCTGCCACGGGGGTTAGGGTTCTGGCTTTGGGGTTGAGGGAATCGCTTTGGGGCTTAGGGCTGAGGATTAAGGCCTTAGGGTTTAGGGCTAGATTTCCATAGAGCCTCGGCTTAAACCCTATTGCCAGACAGGTAGCCTGCAAAACCTCATAAAAAGAGGTGTTCCTTAGAACTTAAAGTCCCTCTGCATAAAGCGCTAGCGACGCACATGTGCAGCTTTGTACTCGGCAGATTGGCGATGATGAACGCCACGAATTCGGCACATCTGCTCTGTTTAGGGCAACCTTTCGTGAAAATCCCCAGGCGTGCGACTGGCCGCTGCCTACCGCATTGGACACACCTCAAACCAGAACCGGAAACCTCAAAAGTGCCTAAACCCTAAACCCTAATGTCCCGGCAGCATTCCTGACCCCCAGCTCCGGGAGTATCTGCTTCGGCTTAAGGACCCAGAGAAACGCAAATTACATGTTGTTGTTGTTGTTGTTGTTGGTGTTGTTGTTGCAGCGCACAGGGGATGTTCCCATCATAAAGAACCAAGCCTCCCAGTATACCATATTAGGGATTATATAGGGATAATGGACAAGAAAATGGAAACTACTATAATGAGTTATGTCAGGATGATGCCATCATAGGGAACCCAAGGATCGTTGCTAGGGGGTTTTGGCTTTCGATTTGAGTGCTCTCTCTCGTGAACCTGAGCGAGCCTGGAGAAAGAGCCGCTTGGTCTGCTACTGGGGCCTGGATCATTGCAATATCATGTTGAGGTCCGCTTGAGGTACCTTACACCAGAAATATACAAGGAAATCTAGGACCGTAATCTTCCTAAGTATTCCTAGAAGACCCCGCATGGCCCCAGCTTCCATGTCATTTCCACTTTTCTTGGCCATTGGATTCTCCACTTTACACCACTCCCGGAACCCAAATTTCTCCCAATCAGTCCCTGTATACCCCTGTATATCTCAAACCCCAAGTATGGTGTTGGCGACGATGTAATCACCTACATCGCCCGGGCTCCTCTTCTGGCTCGAGCACGCCTTGCAAGCCTTACTTGCCCAGCTTTGTCGTTTAGGGTTTAGGGAACAACCAAGTCGGTCTCTTTGGGAGTTTCATACTATACACTCAGACATGGCTATCTCCAAATACCTGAAGTAAATAATGCCTTTATGAAAGGACCCCCAAAGATGGGACCCCAAATTCGCCGAGGCTGTCCAAAAACCCCCTCTACTCCCCTCTCAGCCTGGCCACCTCCCCCCCCCCCTGCCATGGTGG